GGGGCCTTGGTGTTATCAGCACCTCACTCTACCGAGTGAGCCACGGGCCGGCCCGTATTATTGAGTTTTAATTGGGTCTTTTTGTTTGTTTGTTTTTTGAATATTTTACTTCTGCAGTTAATTGAATCCATGGATGTGGAACCCGTGGATACAGAGGGCTGAATGTATAAATATGTCCCATGCAGTATTTGGGACTTGCTTGTACTAAAAATTATTCTCTGTTTGACAGAAGTCTCCAGATATTGTTTTTTTGTCTTGATCATTTTTTGCCCTTAGCTGTCAAGACACTTAGTTGCAAATGGGCCCAGCTACAACGGTATTGCTATGGAGTAAGAAAGCACAGGTTTTGGTGGAAAATTTGAAGGCCCCACTGTGTGCATACGTGTATGTGTGGCGTGTGTATTTATTTTTTAAAAATGTTTCATGTTCAGTGAAGAAACTTTTGAAAATCCAGATTAAGTCAAGTTGGAAGTAAACACTCTCCTAGTCTCAGTATTACAAACGTTTCTGGGCATGTCCTTCCTGTGACTCCTTTCGGTGACTCCCACGGCTGGGCCCAGCTCCAGCAATGTGTGCCTGCAGCCTGGAGTTAGCGGTGGAGAATCGCCAGTGGCCAGCCCATGGGAAGGACTGTACCCAGAGCCCTTGAAAGAGCAGCCTGTGAGCCAGGGATGGGCGAGGTCAGCACAGCTAGAAGGCAGACACGAGGGAGAACTTTCTGCCCAGCAAGACTCTGAGGCCCTGGAGCCTGGGGAGGGACTGGGGGAGCAGAGCTGTGGCTCAGCAGCCTCTCGATCCCTCCCAACCACAATGGTCCCTGACCCATGGCTCTGGTCCCAACAGGTACCACATGGCTTACCTCACTGATGGTGCCTGGAGCCCAGTGAGGCCATCAGTTTTCTTCACCACCAAGATGGACGGAACCCTGGACATCTGGGACTTTGTGTTCAAGCAGTGTGACCCCGCCCTCAGCCTGAAGGTCACGTGCACCCCCCTTCCTAGGCATCCAGGCCCTCAAGTTAGCTGGGCCCTTCTGTGAGTGTGGTGTGGTGCAAGCATGTGGGTGGCCAGGTATCTGTTTGTGTTGGGGGGGCCTATCTGGGGAAGTCACAGGCTGGCTGAGGGCAACTCTTCCTCAGGAGTGTGTGCTCCTACAAAGGTTAAGGGGCCTGGGGACTTGGAACCCTGGTGGCATGGCAAAATCACCTGGGGGAAATTAAATAAGAAAAAAAAGCAGATGCCTCTCCTCCCCTCCCCCCAGTCCTATTCTTTCAGGACACCTGCCTGGATGTGGGCTCCTGGCAGCAGCTCCTTAAAGCCTGAGCTAATGTCATATTAGCATAGCTAGAGCCAAGCCCCACTGGCAGGGGCTATGGAAGGACGTGGGGTTTGGGGAACTGCAGGATGAACGTGGGGCTGGACTGAAGGGCTGGGGTGGGGTGGGGTGGGAGATGAGGCTGGGAGGCTAAGGGTCCTGGCAGCCCATCTCCAAGTTTGAACTTCATCCTGTGGGTGAGGGGTGTGTCACCGAGGGTGTTTGAACAGGACCGAGGGGCTAAGCCTCCCCAGGGCCAGTTAATCAGACAGAGGTAACTTTGCTCCTCTCTCCTCTCCCACCTGGGTCTGCCTGGCCCCTCCAACAGGTGTGTGACGAGGCTCTCTTCTGCCTCCGGGTGCAGGACAATGGCTGTCTCATCGCCTGTGGCTCCCAGCTGGGGACAACCACCCTGCTGGAGGTCTCACACGGGCTGTCCACCCTCCAGAGAAATGAGAAGAACATAGCTTCTTCCGTAAGTGCTGATGCCGGGGCAAGCCCCAGCTCCAGCACGTCTCCACCTGGCCCCATGGCAGAGCAGAAAAGAAAGGGCAGAGAAAAAGATATGTCCCCTCCCTCCACCTCTTGAGAAGGGGGTGCACATTTAGGGGAGGCAATGTGGTGTCCTGAAGGAGCTGTGTGGACAGGTGTTATTAGTGTGGAGATCTGCCCTCGCTCAACCTCACCGTAGCTGAGTGACCCTGGGCAAGTCACGGTACCTCTCCAGGCCGCAGTTTTTCAGATGCATATCAAACTGACTTGATCAATTGGTCTAGTTTTGAGCAATACATATATTTTTGCAGCAGAACCTTTCCCCTGAAGACTTGGCAGAATGCTAGTAGAAAAGACACATGGAAGGGGACTGGCCCTGGGAGAGGGGGATCTGTTCCTACACCCCCTCCCCAGCGGGCGGCCCTGGCGGCAGCTCCCCAGAACCACGGGGCACACTGTGGGATTGAAAACTCCTAATGCTGAGGCCAGGAGAGGCTCCTGGCTCGGCTGAGACTAGAGTCTCCCCAGTGATCTGTCCTCTGTTGGGCCCAGGGCTGCCACATTGCATAAAACACCAAGGGGACCCCTGTCGTCTATGTACTTGGTGCCCTTTGGAACCAAACACCTTGACGTTCCTGCTCCAGCCTCTGACCCCAATATTCAGCCCTCCTTTCTGGACACCAGCCCTGTGCACAGACCTCTGTGGGGAGGGGATGGCTTTGAGTAGATCCAGGAGAACTGGACCCTGTGCTGGGGTCGCCAGCTGCCCGTCCCCTTCCCAATGGCCTCTCTGTCCCTGTGCGCCCAGATATTTGAGCGAGAGACCCGGCGGGAGAAGATCCTGGAGGCGAGACACCGAGAGATGCGGCTGAAGGAAAAAGGCAAGGCGGAGGGCAAGGACGACGACCAGAAGGACGAGGAGCTGGCCGTAAACCTGGACCAGCTGGTCGGCAAGGCCGAGGAGGAGTTCTTTGACATCATCTTCACGGAGTTGAAAAAGAAAGAGGCGGACGCCATGAAGAAGCAGCCGAAGCCGGTAGGGCCCCAGCAGGGCATGCATGGGAGCCGTGGCACCTGGGTTCTGCTTGTGGCCTCCTGGGTGACCTCAAGCAAGCAGCCTTCACGGCTGGGCCTTGTCCCTGCAGCAAGTGGGAGGAACCGCTCCCTTCCTCCTGAGGAATCCTGTCTGCAGCCGGGCGGCAGGCTCCTGGAGGGCAGGGGCCACGCTCCACACCTCCTGGCACCGTCCCCTCCCCTCCATGGCAGGCACATCCTGACTGTGCTTGTGGATGGACTGAATGAGGGTCCTGGGGGTAGGTGAGCAGTCAGAGAAGAGTGAGCCTCCAGGCCCGTGGAGGAAAGAGCTGTGCCACCTGCAGTGTGTGTGTCTTTCTGGCTTCCCCAAGCCTGGTGTCGCGAGTGTGATCTGTGATTGTCTCACCTGCCCGCGGCCCCAGCACTACAGCAGCTTCTAGCCGTACGGCCAGGGCTAGTCCTTTCACCTCTTGGTTTCTTCATTTCCACCTGGAAAATGAGGAAATTGAGCTATAAAGGTGGTGTCTCGTCACCTTCCGGGCTCTCTTCTGTACCAGGGGACAGAGGGGAAAAAAACGACATTGTCCATCTGGGTCATTGCCTTTAGGGAGTCACAGCTCAGATTCCAAGATGTGAAAGAGCCAAAGAACAGCATGGAAGGGGGAGGACAAGGGACCGTATGCCAGTGTCTGCCCTTGTAAGCAAGACTGGCTACAAAATTTGGGGTGGGGGCAGAGCAAAATGAAAATGTGGGGCCCCTTGTTTGAAAAGTATTAAAATTTCCAGACATGGGGCTGGCTGGTGAGCTCAGTGGTTAGGGCGTGGTGCTGATAACACCCAGGTCCAGGGTTTGATCCCTGTACCAGCCACCAAAAAAAAAAATTCAAGATGGTGACAGCACAGCATTAAGCCAGGCACAGGCCCTGCTGAGCACGTGAAGCTGGCCCTGCTTGTAAGAAGAGCTGCCTGGCAAGTTCTAGGGCATGGATGGAGTGGATGGGGTGACGGAAGGTGGTGAGCACACAGGGCCCACCCGTGACTTCACCGTCTTCTGCCTCCTTCCCTGCATCTAAGGAAAGGGTGTGATTTCTGCTGGTGCGTTTAGCATTTGGAAGTACTTGGATATGCACCTCTTTATTCTCGCACTTCCTGTGTGATTAGAGGTGGGACAGGGGGCTCCCTGCATCTATGGCAGAGGCGAGACTAGAGTCCTGGCTTTCAGATCCATGGCCCAGGGCTCCTGCCACCCATACCTCGGGGCCTATCCGGTCCTCCAGAAGGCAAAAATGACAGTGGCCACCTTTTATGGTGCAATGTGGCTCCCAGGCACCAGGCTTGGTGCCGTATGTCCCAAAATGTGCTCCTCACAACAGCTTGAACATTCCAGATGAAGAAGCTGAGCCTCAGAAGGAGTTAAGCTTCACAGATGCTTAGCCTGTTATTTCTAATCCTAGCCACAGCCCTGCAGGGCATTATGTCCACTTGACAGGGAAGGGTGCCGAGGAGACTCAGCAGGAGCTAGCCCGAGGTCCGCAAGTGGCGGAAGCAGGACTTGGACCTGAGTCTGTCAGATGCCCGCGCCCTGCCCACCTTCCACACCCAGTGGCCTCGAGCACCCATTAGGCCCTCGCCAGCCACGGAGCTGGCACCACAGTCTCCAGAGCGCTCAACAATCCAGGCTCAGCCGATTGGCTGCTTTTGGCCTCATGGAGTTAACAATCCAGGGGAGGGGGAAGCCTGGCCCCCCAGCAACAGTTCTGTGCTGTTTTTCTTTTGCAGAAGCAACCACTGCAAAGTTTGGAGGGAGAAGAGGAGGAGGAGGAGGAGGAGGGAGAAAATGCAGGGGAGGAAGAAGGGGGCGAAGAGGAGGTGCCAGCCTAGAAGGTCGCCCTTCCACTACTGCGTGGGGCCTGTGTGTGCCTTCCATTCCTACGTCTTGGGGCTGCCCTGGTCTTACAAGTGGGGAGCCGAGCTTCTCCCTTAAAGCGTCACAGCGTAGGGGGGAGCGTCAGGTCTCTGGCCATCCCCCACCCCCAACAAATCAATGGCCCACACTGACTCACTGGAGTCGAGTCCTGAGCAGCCCCTTGGAGGGGGCAGGGGCAGGGCTCGTCCCCGAGCTCACGCCTCGCTTGTCTTAGCCACCATGAGCACCCCCCGAGGCCAGCTCCACCTTAGGGCTCTTGCAGCCTCTGGCCTGGCCCTGGATGATCCGTTGGATTCAGCTGCTCCTGGGCTTCTCCGACCATCACCGTCCCTGCAAGCTTGCAAAGCCTCATCTGGGCTTGCCACAGCCATGGTGGGGCCTCAGAGAGACCTGGGGAGGGGGAAAGGGCTTCTCCTTCCCTGTTATCAACCTTCCTCATCCACCTACAAGTCGGGAACAGAAAGTCTGTCCACTTCTAAGATGCCCGTCCGAGCTGCTCCCTGGCACGTGTACACACGGCCTCGTCGGAGGCCTCCGTTGTGGCGGAGGGTAGGTGGACGCCGTGAGCTGGCTTATTCTGGGACACTCGATGCTTGCTTTCATCTTCTTATAAAATTAAACTGCTAATGACGATTCCAACAGTTGGTCCTCACTGCGCGTCCTGCGCTGAGAGACTTGCACACCATCCTCGCGGTTCTTTCGTGGAGCCCCTGGAAGCTCTGTGCTCTGCTTGCCCTTATACCACGGAGGAGGAAATGGAGGTTCGGGAAAGGTGCAGGGCTTTGCCCAAGTCACAGAGCTAGGGAGGGGACAGAGTGGGGACAGAAGCCCAGGCAGCCGACTCCCGACCCTGCACGGCAATCAACCATGGGCCCGGCGCTGTGCAGGGCCTGCGGGGGCTCTGAGGTGGGCGGTGAGCTGCCACAGGGGTCCCCTGAGACCACAGCTCCACAGAGCAGTCAGTGATCATTACCAGAAAGGTCGGTAGGGTAAGAGGTCACCTCAGAGCCAACTCTGCACCAGGAGAAGTCCCCTGACCACCATTCCTTCTGTGCATGTCAGCTGACCTTGGCAGGGATCCAAAGCGCCCTTTAAAAATGCTTGTGTTGGGGGCCGGCCCGGTGGCGCACTGCTACAGTGCGCCGCTTGGGAAGTGTGGTGGCGCTCCCGCCGAGGGTTCGGATCCCACATACGGACCGGCCGCTCACTGGCTGAGCAAGGTGTGGGTGCAACACCGAGGGTTGCGATCCCGATGCCGGTCCTGGTCCGGTACGGGCACGACACTGAGGGTTGCAATCCGTTTCCGGTCACGAAAAAAGACAAAAGGGGAAAAAAATAATAATAAATAAAATAAAAAATAAAAATGCTTGTGTTAAGAATCTAATTAAGGAATGCGACACTGAGGGTTGCAATCCGTTTCCGGTCACGAAAAAAGACAAAAGGGGAAAAAATAATAATAAATAAAATAAAAAATAAAAATGCTTGTGTTAAGAATCTAATTAAGGAAGGACCCAGGACCAGCTGCTCCTTGTGCCCAAAGAAAAAAATAACAAGTTGCAATGTTTTTTGAATTGCTATGTGGCTAGACCTTGATAAACGCAATAATCTCAGGTCACATTTATTTAGTGCTTGGTCTTTGTGAGAGCCCCAGGACTGATTTCAGCATCCTCAACCCCCCATCACAGATGTGGCAGGCGAGACACAGAGAGGGAACATCTGCTGAGTCTGATGGGAGCAGGTGGCAGAGCTGAGACTCCAGCCCAGAGTCCTGGCCCCAGAGCTTGCGCTATTCACACCACACTCCCAGGTCCCCCGGTAAGAGGGTAAGAGGAGTGGGCTTGACCAGGTTTCCACTCCCTGCCCAGCACTGCCATCTAGGTTCAGGCAGAGGGAGCCACGAGGGCACAGCAGGCTCCTCTCTGTGCGAGGACACAGGGAGCCCCTGTGCTGCCCTAAGGGACTCCCTACTCAGAGCAGTGATTCTCTACTGAGTGATTTTGCCACCCCCAATAGAAACATTTGGCAACATCTGGGGACATTTTGGATTAACACAACTGGTAAGGAGAATGCAGGGGTAGAGGACAGGGACGCTGCTCAGCATCCCACAATGCACAGAACAGCCTCCACCACAAAGAATGATCCTGTCCAGAATGTCAATAGAGTCACAGTGGAGAAATCCAAACTTAGAAAAGTCCATCCAAATGAGGTGGCCCGGGAGTAAGTCCAAGCTCTGTGTTGTGTCAACCTGGACACGCCAATGGACCCCCGGTGAGAGGCTGGCACCATGAGCTCCAAAGCAGGAGAACGTCCTTTTGCTGTACTAGAATTTTGGCCTTTGGCTTGCGTGTGCAAAAAGAGGCCACCTGCTGGGGTCTGCAGACCCTTCACTCTGGGTACAGAGAGCGCCACTGTACAGGGATGGCATTCGAGGAATGTGCCGTGGGAGGAGAGAGGAAAGCCCTCAGATAGTTCCAGGCAAAGTGCAGCATGACCTCTGTGGATGTGGTGCCTGTCGTGGCTGACCTCACGGTGGTGACCTTCACTGGTGTCACTCACCAGCCTCAACAGGAACCTGTCTCTTATTCCCTTCCAAAGGAAGCAAGACAAAACCACGATGCATCATCAGGGAGCCAGAGGCCACTGGAAAAACCCAGCCCCGTGGGTGTGGAATGTGGACTGTGGAATGCCTGGGGGTGGGACACATCCGAGCAGGGTTGGAAAGTGGCAGGAGCAGCGGCCGGACTCAAGTGTCCACAGCACAGTTATGTCCCTCCTGTCCGTGCCCACCTGGGGGGAGGGTGTGCTTCTTTGACCTTTCCTTCTCAGCTGACTTGATTAATAAATGTGCCACTTAACCAATGATGCTTCAGCTGCAGCTGTGACAGCCCAGTGGTTACTGGGAGGATCACTGTCCACCGTTCCCTTCCAGGTGGCACCTGGGGACTGTGGGCCCCAGGGCAGGACCCTGAGGAAGGACCTGCTTGCCCTTTGCCAGTAACAAAATAAAGTACTCCCCAGGGTCCAGAGGTCCCTGAGATGTTATTGACCCCCAAGCGGGAGGCAAAGGTGACTGACTGTCGATGACCTACCAGGGTCAGCTCGGCATCCCAAGACCCAAGAGCTAGCACCTCAGAGCGCTGAGGACCTTGAGATGGGAATGCAGATGGAAGCAATGTTTCCTGGAGCTGCAGGCCGGGAAGTGTGAGCCCAGCCCCGGGGCTCGCCATCTGGATAACTCGCCTTCACTCAGCTCTGTGCCAGGAATGGCCACAGAGCCTCAAACGCACCAGATGCAGGTCCCCTCTGCTGGAGCTTGTCCGCTTGTGGGAAACACAGAAAGCTAACGCATACACAGACACCTGTGGAATGACGGTTGTGCAAAGAGACATTTTAAGGAAGAGTATGGGGTGCTATGAAAGAAATAATGGGGGAACTAACTTAGACTCTAGAGGGAAGGAAGCTGTCAGGGGAGCCTCCATGAGAAAGTGACAATGAAGCAGAGACCCTAAGAAAGACCATGAGGCAGGCAGATGGTGTGTGAGCATACGTGTGGGCACGCGTCTGCATTGTGTGTGAGCATGTGTGTGCACATGTGATTATATGGATGTCTATTGTGGTGCGTGAGCACATGTGTGCACATGTAATTATGTGGATGTCTGTACTGTGGTGTGTGAGCACATGTGTACATGTGTGTTTATGTGGATGTCTGTACTGTGGTGCATGAACACACGTGTGATTATATGTATGTCTGTACTGTGGTGTGTGTGCACGTGATTATGTGGATGTCTGTACTGTGGTGTGAGCACATGTGTGCGCACATTTGACCGTGGATTCTGTACTGTGGTGATGAGAGCACACGTATGTGCATGTGTGATTGCGTGGATGTCTGTACTGTGGTGCATGAACACACGTGTGATTATATGTATGTCTGTACTGTGGTGTGTGTGCACGTGATTATGTGGATGTCTGTACTGTGGTGTGTGAGCACGTGTACATGTGTGTTTATGTGGATGTCTGTACTGTGGTGCATGAACACGTGTGATTATATGTATGTCTGTACTGTGGTGTGTGTGCACGTGATTATGTGGATGTCTGTACTGTGGTGCATGAACACGTGTGATTATATGTATGTCTGTACTGTGGTGTGTGTGCACGTGATTATGTGGATGTCTGTACTGTGGTGTGAGCACATGTGTGCGCACATTTGACCGTGGATTCTGTACTGTGGTGATGAGAGCACACGTATGTGCATGTGTGATTGCGTGGATGTCTGTACTGTGGTGCATGAGCACATGTGTGTACATGTGTGATCATGTGTGTGTCTGTACTGTGGTGCGTGCGCACGTGTGTGCACATGTGATTATGTAAATGTCTGTACTGTGGTGTGAATACATGTGTGTGCACGTGTGATTATGTGGATGTCTGTACTGTGGTGTGTGTGCACGTGTGATTATGTCGATGTCTTATTGTGGTGAGTGAGCACACTGTGTGTACATGTGACTATGTGGATTTCTGTATGGAGGGGGCGCTCCGGGCAGGGGAGGTGGCAGGCACAATGCCCAAGGAGAGAAGAGGCTGGTGCTGCTCTGTTGGACCAACAGGGAGAGGTCAGCGTGGCTGAAGTGCAGCAAGAGAGGGCTAGAGCCAGGGAATGAGCCTGGAGAGCACACTGGAGTTGGTGGGGTGGGCTGTGAAGGTGCCTTAAAGGACTTTGATCACCAGTAATGAAGGCTGTCCTTACTGGTGACCACACAACGTCCTCCCAATCAGCCCCCGGCTGCCTCCCTCGAGGCCTTCCCCTGTGAGCAGGTGCACGATCAAGCCACTCCCTTACTCCCCAGTGATCTTAGGAGAAAGGTCAAAGTCCTTTCTGATGGCCACCCAAGACAGCCTTCAAACAGGTGACAAGTCCTAGCTTAGCAGGAGGAGCTACTAGAAGTGTGAATGGGTTTCTCAGGGTCCCTTCAGCATCTGAACCCCAAACCTAGAAGGGGATGCTGGGCTTCTTAAGAGAAAAATCCTCAATAAATGCTTTGTTTTCCCAATAACTCTCTTCATTTCACCTCCCAAACTCTAACTTGGAGGAGTCAAACCTATGAGTAGCCATGGCCAGCTCATGAGCAGGTCGGACTTTGGTCTCTTAGGCCCTAGAGGCTCAAAGGGTTTCAGAAAGTGCTCAAGCTCATTGAAACCAGTGGTTTCCAACTGCAGGTGGGTTTGGGGAGAGGTGGAGAATGTCATATATCTCTGATTGAAAATACTTTTGTGATATGGAAAAGGTCACTGATGTTATTAACACTCTGTGTGGCAGCAGGGCCTTTTCATTAGCTAAGGGAGGTTTTGCCCCATGGAAGGCCTGCCTCAGGTACATGAAGATTTCAATGAGCACAGAAAGGCCTGAACCCAAGTAGGTTTTTAGTAACCTTTGATATATGTGGTTTAACCAGCACCAGCAGTTCTTCAACCTCCCTGAGTCTAAGGATCCTGGTAGGTAAAAGGGATTCTCTTGGAGATTGAATGTGACAAGGCCGATCCAGCACCTGGCGTGGCCTCTGGCAGGTCATGGGTGTTCACTAAACTGTGGTTTCCAAGGCTGAGAAAGAATGGTGGTGATGAAACCAGAGCCTGTAAATGGCACGACCGATGACGTGCCAGCTATTTGCGGGGATCTTAGATGTCTTCATGTGGGTCTAAATTGAATGCTGTTGCATGTGTAACCAGGTTTGCCCGAGTAGATTCCTTGCCCGTTCATTGACTAAAGTCTCACTGGGCACTGTACTGGAAATGGCAAGACACAGCTTCAGGTGTGGCTGGATCCAGCAGCTCCAATGACGTCATTCAATTTGTCTCTGCAAAGCTTCTTTCTTTACCTTGGTCTCACACTCTCCTGCTACAGTACAGTTCCTTGCATTGGATAGGGGGAGGGATTGGGCATGATGCCAGGCTCCCCTGGGCTTAGTCATCTCAACCAGTAATCCCAAAGGTAGGAGAAAGCTCCCCTCTCCCAGAGTAACAAATCCCAGGGAAAGGCCCTCATTGGCTCAGTTCGAGTCATAGCCCACGCTCTTGGACCAATCACTGTGCCCAAGGCCAAGCCTAGACTGCATGCCCTCTGCCATGGCCAGAGACAGGATAGGGTGCTGTGATGGGCTCCAGCAGAACCACAGGGACCAGGGGAGAGGTAGTTTCCCAAAGGAAGGGATAGGGGACATGTAAGATGACTTTTGAAGGAGTTAGCCAGACAAGTAAGTGGAAGATGGGCCCACCGGGACAGAGTGGCAGGAACACAGCCCAGGGACGAGAGAAGGGAGCTGCTTGGCCAGAGGATTGCATGTGGCTGAGCAGGGCCAGAGCAGGGGTGGGAGGAGGGGATGAGCCAAAGATGGAGCAGACTCCAGACTATAGGGCCGGCTCCATACAGAAGGCAGTGGGGAGCCATGGCAGGATTTCTAGCAATATGGTGACACGGATCTGTCTTTTAGGATGGTGAGGGTGTGGAAAGTGGATAGGAAGGGAGCAAAACTGGAAGTGAAGAGACTGGGCAGGATGCTGTGGTCATCCAGATGAGAAACTGTGGCATCCCAGTCTGTGGACAGTGGCGGTGGGGATGGAGAGGAGGGACAGAGGCAGCGGGGTAGGAGGAGTGGTTCCAGGACAGGATCAGTGCGTAGAGTGTGTATCGAGCCCTGACCAAGCGCCTGGGTCTCTGCCCTCACGGAGCTTATTCTGACGGCTCTGTAAGAGTTTTGTGGACAAGGAGAGGAGGGGTCTGATGTGGAGGAGGAAGAAGAATTTGATGGCCGTACGATGGAAAGGGTTTACCATCAGAAGGACTAGCATGAGCAAGGAAGGAAGGACCCAGCACTAGTGTGTGTTTGGGAACAGACAAGCGGTCACGATGAGTGGGAACCTAAGTCCCCAGAGCAGAATGCTGCTCAGTGAGGCGTGGCAGGAGGCTGCAAGCAGGTGTGGAGCATGAGAGATCTGCCTTTACTTCTGCACTAGAGCTGCACCTTGCAAAAATAGGGCAGATCCAGCAGGCAGAGACCTGGGCAGGGAGCACAGCAAGAGACCACGACATTGTCCAGGCGAGAAGGGTCAAAGCTGGCGCCCAGGAGGTGACCAGGAGACAACGAAAAGCAAGAATACTTGTGAGACAGAATTTACAGGATTAGAATGTAGAAGATGAGGGGAAATAGCAAGTAAAAAAAAAAAATGACAAAGAAACGGGTAACGGATTGGTGGTTTCATTGACAAAAACACATAAGTCAAACTGAAGAAACTGAACATAGATGACTCTGTGATGCGTCTCCGTGTAAGACGGGCTGGGACCTCCTGCTCAGAA